ATATTTGGTGCATGTTTTTTATGCTTTTACTTAATGGCTATGTCTTTCATTTGTTTATATAGCTGTTTTCGGTATGATTAAGAAGGACAAATCCTTCCACTTAGGAAGGAACAATCAGTTTCACACATACAGAATGGGAACCGATTGTCTAGGAAAGAATACTGCTGAAAGGGAGTTAGGGGTCATAGTGGACCGCAAGTATATTTGGTGCATGTTTTTTATGCTTTTACTTAATGGCTATGTCTTTCATTTGTTTATATAGCTGTTTTCGGTATGATTAAGAAGGACAAATCCTTCCACTTAGGAAGGAACAATCAGTTTCACACATACAGAATGGGAACCGATTGTCTAGGAAAGAATACTGCTGAAAGGGAGTTAGGGGTCATAGTGGACCGCAAGTTAAACATGAGTCAGCGTGAGACACGTTTGCTGCCGCTGTGCTTTTTTTGCAACAATGATTCTGGGGCGCATTAACAGGAGTGTGGTGAGCAAGACACAAGACATCATTCTTCCACTCTACTCTGCGCTGATTAGGCCTCAATTGGAGTATTGTGTCCAGTTCTGGGCACCACATTTCAAAACAGATTTGCAGAAATTGGAGAAGGTCCAGAGAAGAGCAACAAAAATGATTAAAGGTCTAGAAAACATGAGCTATGAGGGAAGACTGAAAGAACTGGCCTTGCTTTGTTTAGAAAAGAGAAGACTGAGGGGGAACACGATAACAGTTTTCAAGTATCTACAAGAGTGTTACAAGGAGGGAGAAAAATTGTTCTCCTTGGCCTTTGATGACAGGCCAAGAAGCAATGGGCTCAAATTGCAGCAAGGGAGGTTTAGGTTGGACATTAGGAAAAAATTCCTAACTGTCATGGTGGTTAAACACTGGAATAAATTGCTCAGGGAGGTTGTGGAATCTCCATCTCTGGAGATATTTAAGAGCAGGTTAGATAGACATCTATCAGGGATGATCTAGACGGTACTGGGTCCTGCCACGAGGGCAGGGACTGACTCTATGACCTTTCGAGGTCCTTTCCAGTTCTAGGATTAACTTAGAATCATAGAATAATAGGACTGGAAGGGACCTCGAGAGGTCATCGAGTCCAGCCCCCCGCCCTCAAGGCAGGACCAAGCTCTGTCTACACCATCCCTGACAGATGTCTATCTAACCTGTTCTTAAATATCTCCAGAGAGGGAGATTCCACCACCTCCCTTGGCAATTTATTCCAATATTTGACCACCCTGACAGTTAGGAATTTTTTCCTAATGTCCAATCTAAACCTCCCCTGCTGCACTTTAAGCCCATTACTCCTTGTCCTGTCCTCAGAAACCAAGAGAAACAAATTTTCTCCTTCCTCCTTGTGACACCCTTTTAGATATTTGAAAACCACTATCATGTCCCCCCTTAATCTTCGTTTTTCCAAACTAAACAAGCCCAGTTCATGAAGCCTGGCTTCATAGGCTTCTCTAGACCTTTAATCATTCTTGTCGCTCTTCTCTGTACCCTTTCCAATTTCTCCACATCTTTCTTGAAATGTGGCGCCCAGAACTGGACACAGTACTCCAGCTGAGGCCTAACTAGTGCAGAATAGAGCGGCAGAATGACTTCACGAGTTTTGCTTACAACACACCTGTTAATACAACCTAGAATCATATTTGCTTTTTTGGCAACAGCATCACACTGTTGACTCATATTCAACTTGTGGTCCACTATGACCCCTAGATCCCTTTCCGCCATGCTCCTTCCTAGACAGTCGCTTCCCATCTTGTATGTATGGAACTGATTGTTCCTTCCTAAGTGGAGCACTCTGCATTTCTCCTTATTAAACCTCATCCTGTTTACCTCCGACCATTTCTCTAACTTGCTAAGGTCATTTTGAATTATGTCCCTATCCTCCAAAGAAGTTGCAACCCCACCCAGTTTGGTATCATCTGCAAACTTAATAAGAGTACTCTCTATCCCAATATCTACATCATTGATGAAGATATTGAACAGTACGGGTCCCAAAACAGACCCTTGAGGAACTCCACTTGTTATCCCTTTCCAGCAGGATTTAGAACCGTTAACAACAACTCTCTGACTACGGTTATCCAGCCAATTATGCACCCACCTTATCGTGGCCCTATCTAAGTTATATTTGCCTAGTTTATCAATAAGAATATCATGCGAGACCGTATCAAATGCCTTACTAAAGTCTAGGTATATGACATCCACCGCTTCTCCCTTATCCACAAGGCTCGTTATCTTATCAAAGAACTTGCTCAGTCGTAGCTTCCCTTTTGAAATTGTAGAAAAAAAAGTAGCATCTGAAAAGGTACGAACGTTCAAATGGTGAAAAGCGAAATATTCTCCATAGTGACTTATGGATGTGACTCCTGGGACACTAATGTTAGCTGGCAAGGGAGTTCCGAATGTTGGTAGAAATTAGATTTAATTGTAAATATATCTTAAGACATGCTTTGTGAATAATGTTTACTACAGCATTGCCATTTATTAGGAAAAATTCCTGAAAAGTGCCTAGTGCTGCTAAATGCTGGAGGCCCCTTTGACAGCACTGTAGCATATCTGACCCTCTGCAACCCAACAGCAAGGGGTTAAATGAGCTAAAGTAAAAAACAGCAACCACATTCCAAGTATTGTGCTCTTTTACTTACCCAACAGGACCACCTGCTTTTTTAAAAAGATCTTCAGAAGAATCAGATCCTGGAAAAAAAAAAAAAAAACCCAAAACAACAAATCAGCTGCTAGCACTCGGATTAAAAAGGAATTCAAAGAGCAAACCAGGATTTGCTATGATTTCAATGTGGTGTTTTCGCACAAGCAGCTATGCTCTCTTTTTCACAGTTAAGTTCTATAGTCTTATACTATGTGAAGTCCCTCTTGATCATGCCAGTACTTTATGCTGGGTGTAATCTCTCTGTACATATGCATGGTTGTCCCTCGCACAAAACAATATCCTGAAGCTTTTTATACAGAGTCAGCAGGTGAAAAGTTCTGATTTTGGTTTCTAATTTGTTACCCAATACAGAAGGTACTGACTCATGTCAAACATGGGACTGGAAGTTGGGAGCTCTAGCTAATATTCTAATCCCTGCCCAGGCTTCTGTGGCTCATTTTCTCCACCTGTGAAGAGATAATTCTTCATTCCTACACATGGTGTGAGTCTAAATTAATTAAGAATTCAGGACTCTCACATGGAATCAGACCTCAACTCCATCTAGCCAAGTATCTTGTTTCCGACAGTGGGCACTGCAAGCTGCTTTAGAGGAAGGTGACAAAACCCCACTGAAGGCAGATGTGTGATAATCTGTCCCTACCATTAGGTTCTCATCCTGATCTCTAGCTGTTAGAGATTAGAACTGAAGCACAAGGTTTAATTACTAATCACCATTTTTAACAAATCTAGATATTTTTGATATGCATATAACTATCCAATCCCTTTTTTAATTTTCTGAAATTCTTGGCCTCACAGTTTTCTTGTGGCAGCAAGTTTCATAATTTACACATAATTTTTCAAATAATTTCCTTTGAGCGGTTTTGAATTTCTCACTCAATACAATTAAATGTCCCTTTGTTCTTGTTTCTCTGTTTCATAATACACTTTGCGATGCACAGCCAGAAGTTGCTATTCAAGTATTATTGTGCTTTAGATCAATATACTTACATTCAAGGGCTCTTACCCAATTCAATGTACACTGCTTTTCCAGATTCACATTTCTGCCTTTTGTTTCTGAGGGAACTCCTCCTGACCATGTTTTCTGCAACCTGGGCAGCAGTGAGAGCTTCCTGCCAGTAAAAGAATACATAGGAAGTGGTTACTGCAAAAAACAAAAAGTAAGCCCATCAGGCTGAATTACGCTGTCTGTAGGACAGTCAGATATAATATGGAGTATAAAGGAGAATGTTTGTATCTGTAGACTCTGCACAGAACTTTAACTTGTGCAGTTCATGGGAGTGGCTTCAACTTATTTATTGGAGAGGTATTCTGCAATTAATACAGATTCTTGCGGTGGAGAGCAGAAATGTCATTTGTATTTATTTAACATTTCAAAACATTTCTGTTACAGTTCTATCATATTTAGCAAAGGATTTTATTCAATATTTGGCAGATCAGACAAGTGTCCTAATGGATAGTAGAACTGAGATTAGACTAAAAAAAATTACCACACATTTTTACTATAAATGGCCAAGACTATTTTCTTCAAATTCACCAAAAAATTGAACAGTGGCCAGTGTTTAGGTGGGCTTAAACTAAACAACTCTTTTTAAAAGTTCTGCTGCAAAACTCAGAACCCCAACATCAGCAATTGCACGGGAATAGAAAAAAAACATGCAACAGAAAGAAGCTCATGTTACTGTCAGTGAAGCAAGTGGAAAGACAACTTTTAAAAACAGTTTTTATATTTTCAAGGTTATTTCAGGCTATTACAATGTCAAGTGATTTTCTTTTATAGTTTTTTTTAAAGTCTGCAATGCCCTTTAATAGTTATTCATTTAGAATTCACCATCATTCATTAGTAGAAAAAACCTTATAGCAGTAATTTCAGCAACAGTTAATAGATATTACAGCCGTTGACATTAAAAACTAATGAAGCCATTTTATCCAAGCAACTTCTTTAAGAAGAGTTATTCTACAGGGAAGATCATACACGAATACTTCCTATGTCCAGAAAATTAGAATCAATGGTCATTTAAAAATCAACACAATATAAGGATTTTTGCTCCTTTATATTAACACAATGTTGCATTTCTAAATCACTAGCCATCAGATGATATTCCAGATGAAGGTGAGATTAAAAAAAAAAAATTACCAAGGTAGGATTCTCTTTCTCTTGTTCTTTAATTCCTTTTTGTCGGTTTCTGTAGCCCTTACTTTGGATGATAGAATCTTCCTTCCACAGGAGATCAGCAGAATTGGTTTCTACAGGATTTTTAGAAAAATCCTGACTACTTAAAACTGAAAAACAGTAAAGGATAGACATTAGGAAACAAACTTTCTTCTGCCACAACCATGATCAACCATTGCAATTAACATACTGCACAGACTACGGTGAGAGATTATGCCATATACTATCAAACAAACTGAGGAACCACCTGATCAGTATCCTGTACAGCAAACAGGAAAACATCAAAAAAGAGCTCTCCAATCTGGAGACTTTCATAAAAAAAACAACCTTCCACACAGCTGGGCTACGTCTACACTGGCCACAATTTCCAGAAAAGGGATGCAAATCAGGTAAGTCAGGATAGGGAAATCCGCAGGGGATTTAAATATCCCCCGCAGATTTAAATAAACATGTCCGCTGCTTTTTTTCCAGCTTGGGGAAAAGCCGGAAAAAAAGCGTCTAGACTGGCGTGATCCTCCGGAATAAAGCCCTTTTCCGGAGGATCTCTTATTCCTAATTCGAAGTAGGAATCCCTACCCAACAGTGGTATCCCTAACTCACCCAGCAATATCGTCAATCTATCCAGCTACACACTCAGCCTGGCAGAAGAGTCTGTCCTATCTTGGGGACTCTCTTTTTGCCCCACCACCTCCACAAACATGATACAGTACTGTGGTGATCTGGAAGCCTGTTTTCACTGTCTCCAACTCAAAGAATACTTTTAACACAACACTGAACAGCGCACTGACACATAGCTACTCTCCCATCAACAGCACAAGAAAAACTCCACATGGACTCCTCCTGAGGGTCAAAATGACAGTCTGACCTTCTTGGTCAGCAATTGGCGTATCTCTGTTTACAGCCATTCACGATCACAGCAGCCTGGGCCTTCTGTTCTGCGTGCCCTGCATGCTCCAAGCAAGCAAAAATGGATGTTACGGGGGGGGGGGGGGGGGGCGG